TTTACATGTCATCAACCAGGACACTTGGCCCGAGATTGCCCCCATCGGGCCATGCAGCCTCGAGCCGGGGTCGCGCCTGCAGCTGCAGCCCCCATAGCTAACGGCCCGGGACGTGTAGGAGCCGTGATGAATGATAAGGGGGGGAGTAATGGAATGATGATTTCCAGTGAGGAAGCAGCCGAGCTTATCCCGCTGGAGCAGTATGTATCACTAGGATACCCGGGGCTGGGAATGATTGGGACAATCCGACCGGAACTCGAGTCCATAGATGTCGCCGAATGGCGACCTTCGTCGAGCGAAACGGAGACGGGAGGCCCTACCTCTGTTACGGGGGAAATCGATGTCCTTGATGTCACCCGAGCACTGGATCATCGAATCCCTCTCCCTATCGGCCACCTACTCTCCATTTCGGAACAGGCGAACAAACGTATGATGCAGCATTGCAAAGCGAACCGGAAGCGATTCGCCCTTGCACGCGCTCAGAAGACGAAGACGTCGACTTCGGAGGAAAAGGTGGACGTCGCTCCTGACCTCATCCGAGTCGGATTGATACGAAAAGATGACCACTTTCTTCGGATCAAGCCGATTCCGTGGAAGTCAACCGAATGTGATATTGAAGTCTGGGGAGTGCCGTATAGTGCGATCATAGATTCGGGAGTAGCTGTCCTAGCGATATCACTCCGAGTAGTCGAGAGAGCGGGTAGGAAGAATGATTTGATTATGCTAACCGAGAAGGACCAGCTCGTATCGGCTGACGAGGAGAAGATCAAGACAGTAGGACGAATGACGAATGTCGCGTTCCGATTGGGAAAAGTGCATGCTTTAGGCGATGTTGTGGTGCTGGATGTGAATACGTATGACGTTTTTTTCGGGCTTCCTGCCTTGGTGGCGCTGCGTGCTAATTTAGACTTCGAACGCCAATCCGTCATTCTCTGGAATACCGGGGGAAAGCCGTATATAATACCGATGAGACTAACTCTTCGAACGTCGGTTAAGGTAGTACCCCGAATTTCTCCGGAAACAATGGGAGCGCTCAGCATGGTCTCCTGGAGTGCACCGGTGGACGGAGGCCAATCATCGAATGACGCGGGGAGCGACGACGATGACGATCCAGTCGTTATACGGTTAGTACGGCAGCGGATTCACTACCTGCCGCCTCGCACCATTGCGCGTACCATGCATCTAACCACACGGAATGCTCATATGATGATCATGGGAGAACCCCTCGTACAGATTTCGAGGCTGGTTGATTCCTGGGAACCCCCTCGGACCCTGTACGAAGGCGTATCTCCCCTTCTCCTTCGGTATAGTGACAAACGTTCCTTTTGTGATCTCACTGGCTTACCTCGATCCCTGCTTCAGCCCGCAAAAGAGGTTCAGTTGTTGCGTCTGGGAGCCGAAGCAGGTTCTTTGGAACCCCCTCAGCGCATCGAGGCAAGATCCGATGAACTCGGGATCCAAATCTCGCCCAAAAGCGTGCCCTGGCGAGACATCTGCGACGGGATAACCCCCGAAGGTCATACAGCGATCAGGGAAGAGGAAGCATAGATGGTGGCCACTGTGTTTTCTTGGAGATCGGATCACTCTTTTATATCTGCACCGCCTGACACTACTCGGCGTATACACACGAAGCAAGTTAATGTTCGGATTTTGGATCAAATGTATAAATTGCATGTGCCCCAGTATGTACCTGATGAGATCCATCGGCTGATCGCTGATATTTTAATAGAGTATCAAGGGGCGATTAGCGTGTCCGATGCCGATATTGGGTTATCTGTGGTCGTTCAACATGAGATTCAGACCGGGAATCATTCCCCGATCCACTGCAAGCCGTACCGATACTCGTTGACAGAGCGCAAGACGGCCTTGCAGCGAATGAGGGAATTTGAGGCAAACGGATGGATTGAGCCTGCCACCAGTCCCTGGTCGTTCCCAGTTGTATTGGTCCCTAAAAAGAACGGGTCGGTCCGCATATGCATCGATTATCGAAAGCTAAATGATATCACGATTAAAGATGTGTATCCCCTTCCCCTGATTGATGATCTGCTTGATGCGATCAGGTGTGCTAACTACTTCAGCAAGTTCGACATTCGGCATGGGTTTCATCATATTTTGGTGAAGGAAGAAGATCGGCCCAAGACCGCCTTCGTTTTGTTTGAAGGCACTTGGCAGTGGGTTCAGTGCCCGATGGGAATCTGCAATGCGCCTGCCACGTTTCAGAGGGCGATGAACGTGACTTTTCAGAATTTCGTCAATTAGACACGGCTGACTCAGGGGATAATTAACTTCTGCATCATTGTGTACATGGATGACATTTTGGTGTACTCGGACACGTTTCACGGACACGCTCAGCACATTGAATGGACGTTGGGTGCGTTGAGAGACGCAGGTTTCAAGATTGCGCTGGAAAAGAGCGAGTTTTTCCTCTCGGAAATCTCGTTCTTGGGGTATGTGGTGACATGAGGAGGCCTACGGCCGGACTCTCGAAAAGTCACGGCGGTCAAAGAGGCCCCGGTTCCGACCTCACTTACGCAGGTTCGAGCCTTCTTGGGCCTGGCCTCCTATTACCGGCGGTTCATCAAGGGGTTCGCGGCTATAGCAAGGCCTTTGACAAAACTGCTGCGAAAAGAACAGCCCCTTCATTGGGATGACGAGTGTGACCAGGCCTTCGGGGCCCTGAAGGATGCTCTCGTCACGGCCCCGATTCTGATTCGACCGGACCCCTCTTGGCAGTTTATTCTCATCACCGACTGGCAGCCGGAGGCTATCTCGGCCATTCTGGCACAGAAGGAAAACGATGGGAAGGAGCATGTCATCGAGTACGCTTCCCGGACGGTGCCAGACGAACGACGAAATGATTCCGCGCCACAAGGAGAATGCTATGCGGTAGTGTGGGGTATCCAGCACTTCCATCCGTATTTGTACGGTCAAAAGTTTCTGCTCGTCACCGACCATGAACCTCTGTTGGCTCTGAAAAAGCTAACCAAATACACGGGCATGATCGGACGATGGGCAGTGCGGTTGCAAGAGTATGAGTTTGACATTGTTCACCGAAGAACGGAGAGACACGGCAACGCCGACGGACTGACACGTTTGCACCGACCCGGTAAAGTACCAAAGGCGGAAGAAATCACACCGTGGAAGGACCCGGACCTCAATAACGGTCCAAAGTACGGAGAAGTTGTGGTCATTCCACGTGGCAAGAAGCAGGTGAAGGGCAATGGGTGACGGAGGTAATGTCCAAAATCCCTCTCTTTCTTCCCCATCCTCTTCTTTCACCTCCCTTCCTGACAAATTTTGTTATTTCTGCGAGGCAATCTCTCGAGTCTATTCCGTCCACATGTGTCCTAAAGGGAGGGGATATGTTGAATGGGTAGACTGTCGGAAATGTGTCACACGTGCTCATGGTGCATGCATACAGTATCGGAGTAGTGATAAACCCTGGTTCTGTCCCTTATGTCGCACTGACAAGATTCCGACGGAAGCCTGATTCCTCGATGCCACATCGGAAGGCCCTGACAAAATTCAGAAATTTAGAAGAGCGGAAGTCTGGACGGATGTCGCCTTGATAGCCACTATGGTAGGGAACTCCCTCGAAACCTTCTCCAAGGAGGATTGGAGGAGGGCCAATGAAAGAGCACGGGATTACCGATGGGTGGACCGACGGTTAGAAAAGCGTAAAACAGATGGCAGTGGGGCATGGTTAGTAGTTCCGCACCCGTTTATGCGGTACGACTCGGTACGGACAACCCACGAGGAGACGGCGGCGCATTTTGCCGTGCGTATTACCGAAGCTGCGATTGACAGAAATCAATGGTACTGGTCCAATATCCGGGACGACGTTAAATTAATCGTCCAACACTACCAGGTCTGCGCTGCTGACAAGGCCCCAACCCAACGCCTAGGTCGATAGTCCCAACGGTGGTTGAACGGCCGTTTCAGAGGGTTAGTATGGATACTATTGATATAGTGGTGCCCCCCGGACCGAATAGTTGCGACTGTTCGATTCTGCTGGTTTTCGTCGACCACTTTTCTAAATGGATCGAGGCCTACCCCTGCAAGACACGACAAGCCGCGGAAATCGCGCGGTACGTCAACCGTTTTCTAGGCATGCACCAGGACACTGAAGAGATCCTGACCGACAATGGGGTCGAATTTAGAGGAGAAGTCGAGAGGAACCTGGTCATACACGGCGTCTCCATACTGCACACGGCCCCGCACATGTCCCAGTCTAACGGATTAGTGGAAAACGCAAATAGGGTGATAAAAACGGCCTTGCGTCGGAATATTGCGGCACGTGACCCCCGACCCTGGCCTGATATTGTCGACCACATCTTGGCGATCCATCGCGGAACGCCCCACGAATCGACAGGCCTAAGCACCTTCCAGTTGCGGACCAATAGTGTCGCGTGTGTGTCGATACCGATCCTCCCCGGCGAATCAGGTCTCAACCGACGCCCCACAAGGGCCACCGCTCGGGACAAAGCCAAAAGGCACTTGGAACTTATGGAGCGGTCCCTATCTAGACTGGCTCGGAAGCGACAACGGTCCACCGAATTGGCCCATGGCCGACAGGTCCGGAGTTACGAGGCCCAGAACGGGAATTCGGGTCCCAGGACCCAGTATAAGTTAAGGGACATCGTGCAGGTAAGGAAATGTGCGCGCCAGGGTAAACTAGCGCCACGATTCTTCGGACAGTATCGAGTGATTGAACTCGGACCCAACGGCGTGGACACCGTGCGCCTCGCTCCCGAGGTTTCCGACAGTCGATCGGCTCGCCCGATCACACGCCACGTGTCCTATCTCCGTCTTCTTCCCTCTGTTCCGTCTCCTTCTCCATCAACCTCTGTCGACGA